CGTCCTCTGTCGTCTCAGCTTCCACTGCCCAGTCAGCCACAGTTGGCTCAGAGACTGCCTCCTCCATCACATTGGCCCTGGAGCTGTCTTCCTGCTGACTCGTAGATTCTCCCCCATCCACAGGCAGCACTTCCAGCTCCTCTCTTTCATCCTCCTGCTCCAATAGTGGCGCTCTCTGGACGACTGTCGCTCCATCGACATCGTCAGCAACCAAATTATGTGAAGTGTGCTCCAACAAAGGTTCGGCTTTCTCATCAGCAGCCTGGTTTTTACGTGCCCGGACCATATTTGCATATGATTCAGGGCAGTTCCGGTAAAAATGGTCCTTGCTTCCACAGAGGTTGCATTGCGCTGGGGCTTGGCAATTATCCACTGTATGATCCAGAGACTTGCAGCGGTAGCACACTCGTGCTTCACATGCCACTGCTAGATGACCCCGTCTACCGCACCTTCTGCAGAGCTTGGGTTGGCCTTCGTAGACAACGAAGCCTTTACTCCCACCAATGTTGAGGGCGCTCGGAATGTGTTGCAGGGCACCGACCGCAGCTCTCAGCCTCACCCGCCACTGTCTAGCACCAGTCCAGATGCCCAGTGAGTCCTGGACGCGTTTGCAGTTTGACAACAGATGGCAATGTTGTCGCAGCCACACCTCCACATCATGATCCGGAAGCGATTCATTATACAAAAAGACCGTCACCATTTTCGTGTCCAATTCTGAGAGCAAATGCAGCTTGAGCAGAGACAGGGGCCTCTCGCCTGCTTACTCCTCAAAACGTGTCAGAAAGCGCTGTAGTAAATCGCTTGTCTTAAAACTAACATCAAAGGCTCTATCAAGCAAAATAGGTCCATGGGCTCAAATTTCAGCATACCCATAACCACAGTTCGCACAAAAATTGAGCGGTCCATAGTCACCTCTTCTGGCACGTCCTCCTTGAAGGCAACTCGGACACAGTTGTGGCGTCTGGCACGATCCGGTGTGAAGCCTGCTCCCGGCCCTCCGCGCCTACGGCCTGCACGTTCCTGGTGCTGTTCCGCCGATGCAGGTTCTGCATTCACCTTTGCAGTCTGTGCCCGCTGGCCAGCAGGCTCCCCGATGTCCGTAGCACTCCTGTCGTGGCCAGCAGGCACGTCCAGCCTCCCCAGCAGCTGGCTCCCCTCAGTCGAGACTGACGACTGAGCCAAGGCATTCTCCTTCCGCGCTCCAGACCGTTGAGCTGTGGCAGTTTCCACCTCCGCAGCAGTCGACGTGGCTTGCTCATCCCGGATCATCTGCACAGCTTGGCAGGTCTCCATATTTATTGGCAGAGCACCCCCTGGCCTCACGGCCAGGGTACCCTCCTCTCCACGGAAATCTTTAGTAAAAGGCGAAAGATTTATTCGCTTTGAAGAGAAACCAGAGATTACTCTCACCCCTTTGACTGTTCAACCTATTAGCCGACAGGAACCTCTCTCTAGGCTATGGGGTCCTTCCTTTTTCTCACACAAATGAAAATAAAATAACTTATGGAAATATGTATTTATAAGTTGGTGGACATGTAGTTGAATCTGTGTATTTAGTTAGTTATTTAAATCATAATAACATTATATATCTAAAACTGTATTCAAAGTGGATTCCTGGCTGGATTCCTGTCTGTCTGGCTGGCGCTTGAGCCGTGTTTGTGCGGGCTGATGTCACATCACCCTCCCCCAGCCACCCTGTACCCCGGATGTGTATCCCGCACAATGTGTGAGAAAGCAGGAGGTCATGCATGGCGATGGGGAGAGCGGAAGGTTGTGAAACAGAGGAAAATGAGAGCCAAATGGGAATAGGAGAGGCAATGAAAAGTTACAAACATCAGGAAGGGGGATTACAGAGAGGCAAGGGAGAATGAGATGGGAATGGGAGAGGTGAGAATGTGCAGAACATGGGTGAGAGATAAACAGGTAGAGAGATAGGGAAGTGGGTGAGATCCAATGGAGGGCGGAGTGTAATAGAGATATAGGTAGAAGATGGAACAGAGAAATAGAGACACAGAGAGAAAGCAAGAAATTGTGAGAAATTGGGATATACAGAACAGAGAAAGGAAGAACATGGTTGAGAAAGACAGGGCAATATATATACGATTCAAAGTTTTGCTGGCTGACAGGGAGAGAACGTGCAGAATGTTTTTGATTATGAAAATTCTGACCAGTTATTTTTCAACAATCCTGAAATAATATCCATCACAGGAACTCGGTCCAGATGTTTCAGTTGCTTGAACAAAGCACCCTCTTTTTTTATTTAAAAATGGGGGATAGCGCGAACGCAGTCCTCCAGTACCACAAATTATACAGTCGAGTTTCCCGCATTTGGGGAAATCGCAGGGGTCAACCCACCCGCAGTGCAATGGATAAGCCCCGCCCTGGGAAGACCACCTAAATGATCATGGTGCCTCCCCTGTCAGGTAAGTATGAGTTGAGGTGCCTCCTCTATGCAGGAAAGTTACCCGATCTCTATTCCTCTTCTCTATGGGGTCTCACGAGCTCTGCTCTCTCTGCTCATAATGGAATTAATGTAAATAATGTTTTCATCAAGACAGTGATACTGGATTCAACTTTTTTTTTTATATAAGACAATTTGATCAGCAAAGTTGTCACGCATTACAACAACATTGAGCTGAAGTGTTAATGTAATACGTGTAAAACTAAGCTTTTATGGTTAATATCAGCTCGGGACACCGGGAGAAAAAGTTTTCATATTACAAGTTTCGTTTAAAAATCTAACACCTGCTTGTGTGTAGGATCTTCTACCATCAGTGTCATACACTCTAGCCCCGGTGTCAGAACAGAGCATCGCTGTGGCTCCAAACATGGTTGTCATTTATTCCAATATATAAAATAACGAATAGATTGAAATGCTAATAAAAAAGATGTTCATAATTCACACTGGGGATGAACTCAAACATATTTACATAGAAAGGGGAAAACCTATCATATTTTCGTACTGGCAAAGGAGGTCCCATGATGTTTACATAGTGCTGACACTTCATGGATATTGTCCAATACTGTAGTTCATTAAAGAAGAAGTTTCGATCAATTGAGGAATATGAAATTGTCAACAGGACACTTGTAAATTACAGATTCTGTTTTTATTAAAATGGATAGCCCTTCCACTGACGGGCAACAAAAAAGGGATTTTTTTTTTCTTGGGGACGTTAATCAGCAGGTCTAAGCTCCGGGATAAGATGAGCAAATACAAATGGAGGAATGAGGCTGTGAGAGGTTTGCGGCTGCAAAGACTCCTGGGAGTGACGGGATACCAGCCAAATTTGACGTCAAGTTCTGGGACACTATTAAACAGGACTTGTTGCAATTATACAGGGAAATCTTGGCTGATTGACCAGTGCCAGAGTCCATGAGTGGAGGTGTTATATCCCTTATAAGTGGAATGGTGGCCCGTAGTGACATCGGGAACTGATCCCCAATCACGCAGTTGAATACAGATTACAAGATTTTGGCCAAAGTTATTGGAGGCAATTCGGAAAAAAGTTTTAGCTGAAGTGACACAAGCAGACTAAAGGGGTTTTTGTGTTATATCACGTACATGCGTCGTTAAATCTGCCACCACCCGACACAGCTAATTCGTAAGGTGTCACGTGAATACATGCCAATTCGTCACGAGTTCAGCATACCGGTGTGTTGGAGAGTAAATCCACATTTACAATTCAAGGACAACGTTACGCTAGTAATTGCAACCAGCAATAAAGATGTTCATAAGTTACACTGGGAATACAATTAAACTTTACACAGTGCTGACATGTCATGGAGATTGTCCAGTACTGTAGTTCATGAACGAAGTAGATACGTTCGAATGATCAATGTGAAAACCTATCAAAACGACACTTGAAAAGAGATTGTTTTCTATTAGAATCGGAAGCCCTTCAATTGGAGGGAAACAAAATAGTTTACACACATTACATTGCTCCTCTCCACATAAATCTTTCGTAAAAGGCAAATATTCATTCGCTTTGAAGAAAAACCAGAGATCACTCTCACCCCTTTGACTGTACCCTACTAGCCTACAACAACCTTCTTAAGGCTATTGGGTCCTTCCATTTTCGCACATACATGGAAATAAAATAACTTATTCCAAGATATTACGACGGGAATTTTGTTGCATAAGTTGGTGGACATGGAGTTGAATTCTTGTATTGTTAGTTTTTTTCAAAAACTCACATTATATACGTAAAACTGTTTTCTAAGTGGATTCCTGGCTGGATTCCTGTTTGTCGCGTGTGGCCAAGTGCTTGTGCATTGTAATGATGGTACCATGGACACCAGTGAGACGCCGTCAATAGCACCCCAGATAGTTGAGCCGTGTTTGTGCATGCTCATGTCACATCTCCCTCCCCCACACACACCTTCCACTCCGGATGTGTAGCTTGCACAATATGGGATAAAGAGGGAGGTAATGGAGTGCAATGGAGAGAGTGGAAAGTCGTGACACAGAGAGGAAATATAGCTGAAAGGGAATAGGAGAGCAACGGAAAGTAACACACATTAGGAAGAGGCAAGGAAGAAGATTGGAAAAGGAGAGGTGGTAATGTGGATTGCAAGAGTTAGTGAATTGGGTGAGATACAATGGAGGGTAGAGTGTAATACAGAGAGAGAAATGTAGAAGATGTGAGAGGCTTAGAGAAATTGAGACAAAGCAAGAAATCCAGAGAAGTTGAGATATACAGAACAGAGAAGGGAAGAAAATGGTTGAGAAATACAGGGCAGGGACAGAACAAGCAAGTTGCTTGTAATTCTGAAAATGCTTGCTAGATATCGTTTAACAAATCCTATTATCAAATGCTTTAACAAATATTTGTCATCAACATCGTAAAAGTGGGTGCTTAGGTGAAAGTAACTTCGTCATGCAACAGCAAATCAGTCCACACGTTTGCATTGTCTACATTACATGAACATTCTTCTATGGCTGCAATAATTGCATCTCCCAACATTTGCTATAACAAAGAACCGTGTTAAATTGGGGGAGGGGGGGGCTAGCATGAAAGCAGTCACCCAGTCCTACAAATGATACAGTCGAGTTTCCCACATTTGGGGAAATTGCAGTGGTCAACCCACCCTGCAGTGTTATGGATAAGCCTCACCCTGGAAGGACCATCTAAAATTATCAGTGCCTCCCCTGTCAGGCAAGTTTAATCTGGATTAAACACCCTTGTTTAAAAGACAATTTAATAAGCAATATTGTCACGAATTACATCACTGAGCTGTTGTCCTGCCGACTCGTAGATGCTCCCACTTCCACATAAAGCGATTCCACCTCTTCTCTCCTGCTGCTTTGGTAATGGTGTTTCCTGGAAGAATGTCACTCCATCAGCATAGCCAGTAGCCAAATTACGTGAAGTGTGCTCCAGGGAAGGTTCAGCCAGCTCTCTGCTCCCACCGTCAGCGGCCTGGTCTTTACATGCCAGAACCATATTTGCATACAATGCAGGGCAGTTCTGGCACAAGTGGTGTTTGCTTTTACAGCGGTTGCATCGTGCTAGGGCACAGCACTCATCCACTGCATAATCCAGAGACTTCCAGTGGCAGTATACTCGCAGTTCACATGCCTCTGCGAGAGGACTCTGTTCGCTGCACCTTTCTGCAGAGCTTAGGTTGGCCCTCAGAGCTGATCCAGGTGGCCCTGGAGCAGCTCTTGGCCTCACCCACAGTATCATCACTAGTTCGACTTCCCTAATCGAACCAACTAAACGTCTATCTCTAAAACCCTCGGCTGCTAGACTTCCCAGACTCTATGGTCTTCCCAAGATCCATAAAGAAGGCCGCCCGCTACGACCCATCGTGTCGACGATAAACTCCCCTACCTACAAACTAGCCCGGTTTCTATCAGATACTCTACTTCCCTTCACAGGCAAGACCTCTTCGGCAGTACTCAACTCAACCCAACTAGTCTCTTTGGTCAAGGACATGGTACTATCTCCTGATGAAATCTTCGTTAGTTTTGATGTAGCATCTCTGTTTACCAAAGTTCCAGTGCCTGATACCCTAACAATAATTGAGGACTTGGTCCAACATGGATAGAATTCGGATGTACCTGCGCTGGTTAGGCATTGCCTCACCAACACTTATTTTACCTGGAATGGCACCTTCTACAAACAGAATGAGGGTACCCCTATGGGCTCCCCCTTGTCACCAGTGATAGCCAACATGTTCATGGAAAAGTTTGAATCAGACGCCATCCAGACATCCACCCTGCGTCCTTCCCTGTGGAAGAGGTATGTGGATGACACTTTCGTCATTTGGCCACATGGCCTCCCAGCATTGAACCACTTCTTGGACCACATCAATTCCAGACATCCATCCATCAGATTCACCATGGAAGTGGAGAAATATGGCAAACTACCATTCTTAGATATTCTGTTTGAGAGGAGACCTGACGGATCCTTGGGACATTCTGTTTACAGGAAAGCCACCCACACAGATTCCTACTTGAAACCGGATTCTCACCACCACCCATCTCAAAAGAATTATCTCATCAAAACGCTATACCACAGAGCTCATGGCATTTCTGACCAACACCACCTGGTCAGTGAATCGAGACATGTACATCGGGCCCTCAGGATGAACGGATACTCTGAACGCACCATCCGCCAAGCTGTTTCTCCCACCATACAGAAACAGCCACTTGAAACTCCGATCAAAACTGTCACGTTACCATACATAGCAGGCGTGACCAAAAAGATCTCCAAAATTCTAAACAAACATAAGATCCAAGTCCGATTCAGTACAGTACATAAAATCCGTGATCTAATTCCATCTGTGAAGGATGTCATCCCTGACTTGCAATACCCTGGAGTCTATAAACTGAGTTGCAGCTGTGGTGACTGTTACATTGGGGAAACGAAACGTCATGTCTCTGATCGTGTCCGCGAGCACAAGTCAGATTTGAAACACGGCAAAATTGAGTCTTCCGCCGTTGCCGATCATTGCTACAACTCGGTAGGCTCTCATGAGATTGTTTTCTCCAAGACTAAGGTGCTCTGCAAGCCTTCTGGCTACCATCAAAGGTTTGTACACGAAGCCATTGAGATATACAAACACAGACATAATTTCAACCGTGATGATGGGTACAAACTTAGTAATCATTGGAAAGATGTTATCAACCATGCAAAAAAAAGATTTTATTACACATTTTTGGATCATCTTATCTGACAGGCACTATTTTACTTCACCGAGTGTTAACATCCCTAACGTTTAACAGTACTCTTTATTGTTAGCCAACACTGGTATAAACATGGGCATTTCCGCTCCTTTTCTATTATGTACATCTACAGTTACTTGCGCAACACGTCCCTGACCACGAGTCCATTCATCCCACAGTGACTTGCGCACAAACAGCATAACAAAGAGCGGCTTAATCGTATCTAATTCATTTACCCACCCAGCAGTATAACAAAAGCAGTAATTGACCACTTCACAACTCCTCCTCCCCCGCTGCCCTTCTTGGCTCCTCCCCCCTTAACCACTATATAAGGTACAGATATTTTGCTGTGACGGTTTCACCTGAAGACGGAAGCTTGTTCTGCCTCCGAAACGTCGTGATTTTTATTGTTTTATTTTTATTAATTTTAATTTCATTTTTTACCTACGTGACTTTACCGAAAGAACTACGAGTATCACCAGTCTAGCACCAGTGCAGACTCCCAGCGAGTCATGGACGCGTTTGCAGCTTCACAAGACATAGAAATGCTGTCACAGCCACATCTCCACATCATGGTCCGACAACGATTCATTGTACAATTTCCGTGTCCAGTTCTTAAAAAGAGCAGAGTCAGGGGCCTCCCACCTGATCTTTACTCAAAAGTTAAAAAGCGCTGTAGTAAGTTGCTGGTCTTGAAGCTCACCAAAGCTTTGCTGGGCAGCAGAGCCTATCAAACAAAAAGGAGGTCCATGGGCTAAAATTTCAGCAGCTCTACCAACCACAGTCCACAAAATTCGAGCACTCCATGGTTACCTCTTCTGACACGTCCTTTTTAAAAAGGAAACCCAGACAAAGTTGTTGCATATGGAACGATCTGGTGTGAGGTTTGCTCCTGACCCACTACACCTACGCCCTGCACCTTCTTTGTGCAGCTCTGCCTGTACAGGTTCTCCATTCACCTCAGTTTCTGCTGCAGCTTTGTCCTCATCGTTCTGCATCCACTAACCGGCAGAGTCCTCCGTTCCCGTGGCACTCCCGTCGAGCCAAAGCCGCTTCCCTCTGCGCATATGCGGTCACCCTCCCTGGCAGCTGCCTCCAGACATCCCCCACAGTTACCGGCCACTGAACTGCAGCCTCCTTCACAACTTGCCTCCTCTCAATCAAGGCCGACGACCAAGCCAAGGCACTCCCTCACCAGCCTCCACACTCCCGATAGTTGAGTGCTAGCAGCTTCCCACACCACCATTCACACCTCAGCAGCAGTCGATGGTCAAGCAGAGGTACCCACCTTCGAAGACGTAGTTTCATCATGCCGATAGCTGGGAAGGTCTCCATCTCCATTGAAGCTCGCAGTCTTTTTCGATGGTGGCACATCTGCATAGATAAATCCATACTTTCAATTGGCAAGGCCACAACTGGTCAACCAGGGCACCTGCCGATGCAAAGTAAATATTCATAAAAAGGCGAAATCTATAATAAAAGGCAAAATATGTATTCGCTCAGAAGTGTGCTATCACCCCGTTGACTTCACACTACTATTAGCCGACAGCATCCTCTCTAGGCTGTGTAGTCCTTACATTTTCACACTAAAATAGAAGGACCTATTCCACATGATAAAGACGTGCTCTTCTTGGTTCTTTCGGTAAAGTCACGTAGAAGGGAAGTAATAAAATAATAAAAATAAAACATAATAAAACAATTCTCACGACGTTTCGGCCACAACGCAAGCAGCCGTCCTCAGGTGAAAACCAGGTCCGTCGAGGCGACAGAGTCTGAATGAAACAGCACACGAGCTTGGAGCATATATATAAGCTGGGCGCATTGACAAAGGAATTTGCATATCAAAAGGAATTTAGCATATTTATGGGAAATGCAGGAATGTGATTAGTACTGCATATGCATGTGCATTATGCAGGATTAACAGCATCAAAGGGAGCTGCAGTTACTGCTGCTGCTGCAGTTGCTGCTGCTGCTGCAGTTTCTGCTGCTGCTGCAGTTGCTGCTGCTGCTGCAGTTGCTGCTGCTGCAGTTGCTGCTGCTGCTGCAGTTGCTGCCTTATCCATTTTAATATAACACTATGTATTATTCTACCCACCCTAATGTGTATCACACTGCTATATGTTTACTATACAATTACGACACCATACATTACTCTGCACACTGCACCATGCCAGTGAGTGGAACGCGGTCTGAAAGTCACCGTAAACGTGAACACAATCAGTTAAGATCCGAAATGGTTTATTACGTCCTTCCAATGATTGCTAAGCCAGAATCCATCTTCTCGGTTGAAATTGTCTCTGTGTTTGTATATGTGGATCGCCTCATGAACGAATCTCTCATGATAGCCAGATGGCTTGCAGAGAACCTCTGTCTTGGAGAAGTCAATGTCATGTGAGCCCACTGAATTGTAACAGTGATCTGCCACGGCTGAGGTGTTTGTCCTACCGTGTTTTAGGTCTGCCTTATGTTCACGGATGCGGTCCGAGACATGTCGTTTGGTTTCTCCAATGTAACTGCTACCACAGAGGCAACTTAGTTTGTAGACGCCAGGGTACTGTATGTCTGGAACCACATCTTTTACAGACGGGACCAGATCACGGATTTTATGTACTGTGTTGAATCGGACCTGGATCTTGTGTTTAATCAGGATTTTGGAGATCTTTTTTGTGACCCCAGCAATGTAGGGTAAGGTGATGGTCTTGAAAGGCTCCTCAACAGGATCCTTCTTGATGGTTGGAGTGATGGCTTTGCGGATTGTGTAGTCGGAGTAACCATTAGCCTTAAGAGCTTGGCGTACGTGTTTGAGTTCACTGGAAATGTGTTCATGGTCGGAGATGCATTGGGCTCTATGATATAGAGTCTTGATGAGGGAATTCTTCTGGGATGGATGGTGGTGGGAATCCGGTTTTAGATAAGCATCCGTGTGGTGGCTTTCCTGTAGACAGAGTGGCTCATTGAACCATCAGGTCTCCTTTTGATTAGGACATCCAAAA